GTGTTTAAATGATATGTGCAGAACAAACGTAGATACTCCAGTCGATTTGTATTACCTGCACCAGATGAAGGGATATGGGACTAACCTGGAGGGACCGGTGGCGCTTGAAGGCTTCCGATGTACTCTGGTCCCAAGCAGGCGATGAGGGCAATCTGGCTGGCAGTGAGGGGCTCCTCAATCAGCTGGAAGGGACCCTGGCGCCAACGTAGACAGCTGTGTTGATACAGCACCGGGGGCGTACCGAGGAAGGCGCATACGGAGGTGCTGATTGGTCCACCGTCCACAGTCTCAAACTGAATCGTAGAATGGCACAAATGCATCAAGACATACGTACAAAAAAATCCTAGGGAGGGGGGGAGGAAGTTAAGAATGTATCTTAGAATAGAGAAAGATGAATTCTTTTGACCCAATTGAGAAAATCTCTACGGCTTTGGTGGGATTCGAAACCAGGAGAATTAAGCAAGGCCAACGCTCTTACAATTTAAGCCACCCTTCCCCCATCGGGAGTTTAATCACACTTGGGTCAAGTTTCGCGTCAAATCTACCCCAGCGTAAGAAATCCACCAATCCGACAAAATAATTGGACGATCCAAGCAGAATTTCCTAAGCAATCAATGGAAAATTCACCACATGACTACCAGGCTCATATTAATTACGTGAACCAAGTATCCCTCGGATGGGCTGATTACTTAGCAAATTCTGCTGGGCAGTCAGCTTACTGTACCAGAGTTAATGGATTGCATACGTTGCAGTATATTGGGCAGGTAGATTGAACCAAATGTGATTCAAATCAGGGCTCCCGGTGGGGACATTATAGGTCAGTTAGTTAGAGCGTTGGTTAACCCTCGGCGTTGCCTTTGCTGTCGTGGGCTCGACGCCCAATGAGACTGTCTAGGTTTGCATAACTACGTCAAAGGACTTTTTCAATCTGCCAAAAAAGTTGGCAAAGACATAGAGAACAAAGAATAGGTCAGTATTACACGCCAACCTAACCCTAACTCAATCCATTGGGCTCCTTAGGGTAAGCATAATTTACCAGGTTGGCAAAGTCGCACAATAGTTTGCTGGCCGTAGGAGGACCGATTTATCGGGTTAACGGGCAACTCTCCAAGCGGCAACTATTACTACGACGCATCTGTTTTACAGTGGTAATGAAAGATGGCGCATTGTCAGGGGCTCATTCCGGCTCCCGCCAAGGGTCCGTAAACTAGTGGATCAATTCAACTAGAAATGACATCGCATATAGTAGTCGGAGTGATGTAACGCCATAGGCTCCGGCAGGCCGCAAACTTGTCGGGGCAACAACAATCACCACCATAATCAAGACATACGACCGCTCCGCTCTGGCCCATAGCAACCTGTCAGAACCGTTCGCTATTCAGTTTTGCGTTCGATAAGACTTTAACACGTTGCCCATTCTATTCAACTATGCCA